ATATATTCAAAGTGTTAAGAGAAAAGCAATTTCAGCCAAGAATACTGTACCCGGAAAGATTATCTTTCATTTGGGAAGAAAAGACAAGAACATTCTCAGATAAACAAAACCTGAAAGAATTTACCAGCACCAGGCCAGATCTGCAAGAAGTTCTCAAGGGAATGCTATATCAGAAAAATTAAATATAGACACACAGAAATAAGAGTTCAAAAATGAAGAAAATGGACAACTTGATCGTTGGAATAAGTCTGGAGTTGAATATTATATCACAGAGTATAATCGGGAAAATTGACCCACAACACTAGATAAAGTACATGAGACTGAATTGGTGAAGTATAATTTAATGACTTTTGACTAAAATATTGCTGATTTTCTTGTAGACTTTGTTTTCTGGTTGTAAGGATTTATGTCCTGTCTTGAGATATGGATAGATTCATGTATCTACCATTTGAACAGAATCCTAATCAGTTTCCTGGATCTAAGTTTTAAGCAAATATCCTTAGCATTTGTTTAAGTTAAAACTGATTTCCTTAATAGTACCAAGTGAACTTGCTATTTAAAGTAGTTAGATTATTTAAGAAATTGTGTGATCACTAAAGATCTACCTGCTACCTTATTGCCTCTAGTATTTAGAACTACGATATTGTGTGATCACTAAAGATCTACCCGCTACCTTATTGTCTCTAGTATTTAGAACTATGATTTTCCACACTGGAGTCCAGCAACATAACCACTACATCATCTGCTGACCCTGTGAAGAGAGTTCTTTTGGGTTTTTTTGGGGTGAGTTATTTGCTATATGGTTTATGCACTCGCCAGACAGAAAGAGACAGAGACAGACTGTGAGGAATCACCCCCCAGGGAGGATGATCATGCAGCAATCTCTTCTCCTCCATTCTCCTCTTGGGATCTTGGGCACACACGCACATGCACCCAGCATGAGTTTTAAGCCACCTGGTCTGGGACTCGAACCACAGTCGACTACATGGGAGTTCAGTGACATAGCCATTACACTAACTGCTGGTCCCTCCAGTACTATGTTAAGGCATGGAGGAAGTAGGCAGATTTCTCTTGTTCCCATTTTTAATGGACAACTGATGTTAACTATAGGCTGTCATATATGGCCTTTACTGTGTTGAGGAGTGTCCATTTTATGCAAGTTTTGCCGAGACTTAATCACAAAGAAGTTATATTTTATCGAATACTTTTTCTGCCCCAATTTATATGACCCTGTTTTCAATATTCACGATGCAATAAATTTACTGTTTTGCTTATGTTGAACCATTCTTGCATACCTAATACAAAACCTACAAGGTCATGGTGTATATTTTTAATGTGGTATTGGATATGATTTGTTAGTATCTTATTGAAAATATGTGCATCTGTATTCAACAGGAATATTGGTCTCTAGTTTTCTTGTTATTGCCTTGTCTCTTTTGGGGATCAGGGTAATGGAGCCTTCATAGAATGAATTTGGGAGGGTTCTTTCCTTTTGGATCTTTAGAAATAGTTTAAGGAGAAACATTGTTATTTTTTGTTTAAAAGGTTGATAGATTTTGGAAGTGAATCCATCAGGCCCTGAGGTTTTTTTCATTGAGATAATATTGATTATTGATTCAATCTTGTTGCTTGCTATTGGTCTATTCAGGCTTTCTATTTCTTCCTGGTTCAATTTTGGTAAGTTTTATGTGTCCACATATTTGCCCATATTATTTAGGTTTTCTTATTTGTTGGTGTATAATTTCTCAGTTTTCTCGTGATCTTTTGTATTTCTGCTATCTTTTGTTATATTATCCTTTTTTTGTTGCTGATTTGACTTATCTGGCTCCCTTCTCTGTTTTTGATTCATCTAGCTTATGGCATGTCAATTATTTATTTCTCAACCAGCTTTTAATTTCATGTATTTTCTCTATAGTTGTTTTATTCTCTATTTCATTTATTTCTCCTTGAATCTTTACTATTTCTTTTCTCTTTGTATTTTTTTTGGGGGGGTATTCTTTATCTCATTACATGAGATGTGTTCTTAAGTTACTCTTTTGACACCTTTCTCTTTTTTGTTTCTGTTTTAGGTGTGTGTGTGTGTGTGTATGTGTGTGTGTGTGTGTGTAGTATGAAATTCCTTCTTATAATTGCTTTTACTATGTACCATAGGTTGTGAAAATTCGTTGTTAGGTTCAATTAGTTTTTATGACTTGCTTTAATTTCTTCAGAGATTGTGAAAACATTTAAGAATAGATTGTTTAGTCTCCTTATGTTTGTGTATTTTGGAGGGTTCTCTGTAGTTGATTTGATGTTTTTTTTTTTCCATTGTGGTAAGAAAAGATGGTGGATTTAACTTCTGTCCATTTCAATTTGTAAAGGCTTATTTTCTGCCTTACCATGAAATCAATTTTCAAAAATGTTATATGTAGGGATGAGAAAAATGTGAATGTTTTTGTTGTTTGGTAAATATTCAATAAAAACTGTCAACTTCATTTGATTTATAGTATTATTTAGATCTTGTATCTGTTTATTCATCTAGATTATCCATCCAGAGGAGACAGAGGGAGTGTTGAGATCCTCAACAACTATTGTATTGCAGTCCATCTTTCCTTTTAGATCTAACACTTCTCTTTCACATATATGGGTGTCCAAGTGTTGGGTGAATAGATATATATGTATTCTATTTTCTTGGGGATCTAGCACTTTAAGTATTATTTACTTCTTTGTCTCTCCTTACACCTTATGTCTTGAAGTCTATTTTGACTGATACTCTTTATATGATTCCAGTCTTTTTTGATTTTCATATGCATGGACTACCTTTATCAAGCCCTTCACTTTCAGTCTATGTATGTCTTTTTCAGTGCAGTGTTTCTTATAAGCAGTTTATATAGTGATCTTGGTTTGATTATTTTTAATTAATACAGCCAGTCCGTATCTTTTAATTTGAGAATTTAGTCATTAACATTCAATGTTATTCTTGATATATCTGGATTTATCACCACCCTCTATTTTCTTCTCTAAAGTGTGCTTGCCTCTCTTTAGTTTTCCTGATACAGTACTCCCTTCCTGAAGTGCTGGTCTAATGTTGGTGAATTCTTTCCGTTATTGCTTATCTAAAACTCATTTTATTTGTTCTTCCCATTTGAAGGATAA